GTTCGTACGAAAACGAACTTACTATACTAAACAAAACTTTACTTTACGTAACGGTTTTAGGTTTACCGTTCCTAAACGTAACGTTACTTATATTATTAGTACTACTCTCTCTCTCTCTCTCTCTCTCTCTCTCTCTCTCTCGCTCACTCTCTCTCCCCATACATGAATACACCCAGAAAAGTAACACAGAAATGAACGAAGACAAATCAATGCTGGGAAACTTCATGTGGTCATCTCGACCACAATAGGCATTGAGTGTCTTGGGCATTTCATTGCGAGCGCACAAAATATGAACTCTCAGGTTTTTTTTTTATGCTGTGAACTTTTAAGTAATAACAGGACAGATGCATGAGAAGGTGGACTTGCAAAACCTTTTCCCTATAAATTTAAGGGATTGTTAAGAGAGAGAGAGAGAGAGGGTATACCTGAAAACCCGTGTCAACTTTGATCTCTTTAATATCTTTAGCGCACTTTAGATAACTCTTGATCTATATGAGGATGAGATAGAGGATAAGGAAAAGTATAGAATGAGATTTTTGACTTTTGGTACAAGGTGGTCATAATTAATGCTGACCATTGGATGTAAAATCGGGTGGCTGTATTTATTCTATTGACCAAGGTCAAATTTCAAAAGAAATTTTTTCAAACTTTATGACACATCCAAACTATCAAATTTGACATTGGATGGTTGTAAGTAATTGTGACCATTTTATATCAAAGGTAAATGATCTCATTGTATATAATACCTAGAGATAATTATTGGCTGGTTAGGAGTCAATGTGATTGTAGCTTTTAACATTATTATTCATTTTTCTCAAGTAGTTTGGGAGTTTGGTTGATTGAAACCCAAAACAAAAACAGTAATTCAAAAAGCGGACCGCTTAGCGTCTAGTCGGTTGCCTAGGCTATTCGAAAGGTCTGGGCGCATCGTCTAGGCCTAGGCGGCCAAATTGGGCGGTCTGTCCTTTGGCGGCCGCCCAGGGTCTGCGCCCAGCTTAGGGGCGGAAAAAAAAATAGTGAAGGTATTTTACGTTATTTGTTTTGTTTTTAAGGCCCAAAAATTAGGGTCTTATGTTTATTGGAAACCTAAACTTTGTTTGAGCCAAATTGATCAAAACATCACCCATTGGTATTATATTTACTTTTTGATGTTTTCCAAAGTTATTAGGGCGTGTTTTAGAAGATTTTGAGTGTTTAGAAATATCTTTGAGGTGGAAGTTTGAATATTGAGCAATCAAGTTTAGTAATTTGCATTATTTTTAAGATGCCTTCTTCGGGATCTAATAGGAGTGGTGATCTCGATTGGGAATATGGTTGTAACCCAGATCTTAATGATTGTGAAATTGATACAAAAAGGGGTATAAATAGGTTCAAGAAACATCTTGCCGGTATCAGGGGGCATAAACCAGTTCAAGAAACATTTTGCTGTTATTGAGGGGCATAAACCGGTTCAAGAAACATCTTGTCGGTATCAAGGGGTTGTTGCCTTATGTAAAAAGACTTCTGATGTTGTTAAAGAGGAATAAAGAATTTTATGGACTTGGTGAAAATGAAAAAAGATGAGATTTTATAGCAGAGGTTAGGTCTGGGGGTCGAGTCAATTTTGATGATGAGGAAAGGATTGGGGAGGGAGTTGTAATTGCTTCTTGTTTTGGGACTAAGAAGCCTCGGGTTAGAGGCTTATGGATAGTTCCTTACCTCGGCCTGACTTTGTTGGAGAGAAAACAAAAAAGCAAACCACGATTGAAAATAAAATCAAGGAAGAGAGAGATAAAGCTCCGTATTATTTGGCTACATGGTTTTGTGAGGTGGGCATTCATTTCAATACCGCTCGCTTAAGTAGCTTTTATGTTACATTAGAGAAAATTGGCCAATTTGGCCCTTGAATGACATATTTGCTAAAAGAGATAATAGAGACCCCATTAGATCAAAAAATATGAACAATGTTATGGAGTAGTTAGTTGATGATGATGAGGTCGAGGAGCATGAAAAATTAACATGAGACGTGGTCGTGGATGCTTCAGGGACATCAATCGACCCTCTTAGGGCCACTAGAGCTTATGCACAGAGAACAAGGGTGGAGGAAGAGGAGGAAGTAGAGGCAGATTCACAAGAGACGGAGGAAGACGAGTCGCAATATGTCGAGGAGGGTGACAACTCCGTCGACTTCGATGAATATGATGCCAATGCAGCTGATCCAAGATTTTCTGATGATGAATGAATGTTGATTGTTGAATAATTACTAAACTTTGTTACTTTGAAGTTTGAACTTTAATTGAAGGATTGTGTATTGCACATTTGAACTATTAAAGATTATTTTGAGTCTTCAAGTATTACTTTCATAGTTTTATAATTTGGTTGGTTGGCATATTGTAAGTTTTAATTGGATATGGATTATGGAGTATGAACCGACTTATGGATAATGGTTATGATTATAGAATGTGTGCTAAATGCTAATATGTAGTATAATTTGAATATACAAGATAGTCTAATACTCAAATAACTGCAGAATTTTTATTTGGATTCAACTGGACTGTAGAATCTTTATTTGGATTCAACTGGACTGTAGAATCCTTATTTGGATTCAACTGGGCCACTCAGGTTCTAGGCACTAGGCGGCCCCCCAATCCGCCTAGGACCCACCTGGCGCTTTTTATTGAAACACTGAACAAAAATTTGAAAGACTTCACTCAATCTTTCTATCTCTTTCTACAAAAGTTTAGAAGACCTCGCTCCCTCTCAACCATCTCCCAAACTGCATGAGAAAAGTGAATAATAATATTAAGATCTACAGTCACCGACTCCTGATCAAGAGCTTTCTAAAGTAATCAAGAGCTATCTAAAGTAAGCTAAAGCTAGAGATATTAAGGAGATTGAAGTTGACTCGGTTTTTTGGGTATACCCTATGTACCTCTCTCTCATTCCCATTTATTGCATAAACTAAGTTGAACATCTCTCTCTCTCTCATTCCCTATAAAACTAAGTTGAACAAGATTTCAGTGCTTTTCTTCCTTTGCATTGTCAAAGAGAGGATGTGTGTGTGCGCGCTCTTGTTTGATCCAAGATCGCTTGTGGGCCTTGGTTTCTTCTTGTGCATCAAATGGTGTTAATCGGTGGAGAATAAATATTCTATGCTCAAGTTCTCTTGGCTTTGTTCTCAGTGAAATTTATGAAAACGAAATATTTAATATTTTATCTTTTATTTAATTTTAAAAAGTGTTTCAACATACACTTGATCATGAAGTAGCTGAAAATCGGTAAAACTTCAAATAGCTGATAAAGTTAGGCTTATTTTGATGGATTTCCCTTAACTTTATTTTAGGTGCATGGGCCCTTTATCCACGTGGTCGAATGGGTTAAAATCCATGATGTTTTAAACTTCATTGGCTCCTAGCTTCTTGGTTGCCTCCCAAGTGTCGGACAAATGTTATAGTATCAAAACACACATTTATAAGGTGATTACAATTAATCTTAACCATTAGATGTGAAATTGAATGACTGCATTTATTCCATTGATCAAGCTCAAAGTTCAAAACACATTTTTTCAAACTTTATAATACACTCGAGCTATTAGATTTTATATGGGATGGCTATAAGTAATTATGACACTTCTTTATATCAAATATAAATGGTCTCATTATATACAATCCCGTAAGCCAAAAATTATTCTATCATCATGGGAGTGGAATGTCCATTTACTCTTTCAGGTAAAACCTCAACTGATTTAAAACCCTAAAATTTGAAGATGTAACATCTTCAACCTATAGATTAACCTAAATAAAAAGAAAAAAGAAAATACAAATTGTACCCTATATGCACTAGAATAACCTACATGCACTAGAATAAAATAGTGTCTCAAGATTGAATGGAGACTATCCAATTTTTAGATAGTGAGATTTAAGTGTTCAAAAACTCGATTTTTTTTTTTTTTTAGAGTATTCATCTAGTAATTTTTAAGTGGTTCTTAAAATTTTAGATTGAAAACTTCTTTCCAAGTGGGTCTGATGATTGAGGGAGTAGAAGTAAAATACGCTCTTGACGGAGCATGGTATACATGCTCAACTTAGAATGTAAGTCTCTTTAAGTTCTTTGTGTTTCTTTTGTGTGATACAAAAAAAATTTATGTGAAATTTTTTAATTGTAACTTTTTTTTGTATATTTTAAAGGGAGAATATCTTCATACCCCTTGTTTTTAAGGTTCATATCTCAATAGACCCAAAAATTTAAAAGGTATCTTGTACCATAAAAATCGTAACTTTTATATCTTCTAACCTCCTAGACTAATTTTATTGACTTTATTCTTTTTTTTTTAACCCAAACAATTTATTTAAAGATAGCTCTTTGTAAACCACATCTTTTCTCTCTCTTCACATGATATTCTCCTTATTTCTCTTTTCACCGTGACTCTCCCAAACCCCTTCTCTCTCTCTCTCTCACTGTATTACCCCTCTCTCTTTCTTACATCCTAATCTCTCTCTCTCCATAGTGATTCTCCCTAATTCCTCTCTATTTTTTCTCTCTCACAGCCTAATCTCTCTCTCTATAGTGACTCTCTTGAATTCCTCTCTTTTCTCTCTCCACCATGACTCTTTTTAATTTTTCCCTCTCCACCCTCTCT